ACAGTTGGACAGGTGGACAGTTGGACAGGTGGACAGTTGGACAGGTGGACAGTTGGACAGGTGGACAGGTGGACAGGTGGACAGGTGGACAGTTGGACAGGTGGACAGTTGGACACCATCTGAAGACTCAAACTGTAGGAAAATCAGGACATTTTCCTCCTCCTCACTGAATCAGAGCTGTGTGGTTTGAGCAGCTCTATTCTGGGCTGCCCACATTATTTTGTTGCTCGTCTCACTGATTGATCCTTATTCTGAGCCATGAGGAGACGGATCAGAACCAGTTACAAATTAATACAAAGTGGCTTTTAAACCTGACATTTAGTACTCATGTCACCTGTTCTCACCTGTACAGGTGTCAACATACACCAACAGGGAGGAGACAGGTTAGAGACAGGTGATGGGTTAGAGACATGGAGACAGGTTAGAGACATGGAGACAGGTTACAGACATGGAGACAGGTTACAGACAGGTGATGGGTTAGAGACATGGAGACATGTTAGAGACATGGACACAGGTTAGAGACATGGAGACGGGTTAGAGACATGGACACAGGTTAGAGACATGGAGACAGGTAAGAGACAGGTTAGAGACATGGAGACAGGTTAGAGACATGGAGACAGGTTAGAGACAGGTTACAGACATGGAGACAGGTTAGAGACATGGAGACATGTTAGGGACAGGTTAGAGACATGGAGACAGGTAAGAGACATGGGGACAAGTAAGAGACAGGTTACAGACATGGAGACAGGTTAGAGACATGGAGACATGTTAGGGACAGGTTAGAGACATGGAGACAGGTAAGAGACATGGGGACAAGTAAGAGACAGGTTACAGACATGGAGACAGGTTAGAGACATGGAGACATGTTAGGGACAGGTTAGAGACATGGAGACAGGTAAGAGACATGGGGACAAGTAAGAGACAGGTTACAGACATGGAGACAGGTTAGAGACATGGAGACATGTTAGGGACAGGTTAGAGACATGGAGACAGGTAAGAGACATGGGGACAAGTAAGAGACAGGT